CTGCCCCCGCCGCGGGCGGCTTCCTTTTGTACCCTGCCGGGGCGCAGGGGCCACGCTGCAGGACGGTCACCTCTGGTGACGCAACTCCAAACAGCTCGGGGCTATTTTTAGAAGGCAGGCTGCTAAAAATAACCCTCGCAGCCGGCTGCAATCTGAGAGGGGAAGCAATAAAAGGAAGCTGGGGTCTTTAAAGCACACCCGGCCGCTCAGGAAGGGGGTGATGACGAGGGCAGAAGGGCCCCTGCTGTGGGGCATGCGTCCGTTTGGCTCCTGGCTGAGCTCTGGAGACCCACGGCAGGGTCCTGGTGCCCCCGCTCGGAAGCGAGTGAGACACGTGCAACCCTCTCCAGTGAGCCTCTGTGCCGCCTCTCCTCCCCAGGCAGTAGTGGCAGCCGCGCATGCGGAGCCCGAGCACCCTGAGGAGCCTGTGCTCAGCCCCATGCCACCCAGCACCCCACTCGTGGGTGACCAAGGGGTGTTTTCTGGCATGGTCACCATGCACTTGACCATGGCTGTGTGCTGCTCTTCCCAGCAGGACAGATGGCCCAGGTCCTTGGCTACATGCACCCAGCACCCATCCCCTGTCCTCTTTCACCTGCCCCCATGACTTCAGCATCCTGGTACTCATCCCATGTGCTTGGTGAGCCTGGCCTGGGCTGGCTCTGCTTGCAAAGCTGCCACAGCTCTTCTTCCCAGCTTCACCTCTGCCCTGCAGGGCTGCCCCAGGGACCCCCCCCTGCCCTCCCACAGGCACGTGTGGGGCATACGCACCGCGTCCCTGCTCCCGCCACCCCGAGGCAGGACGGCCTGCCCCTTCTCCGCCCCAGCACAACCCAGGCCCTTGTGCTCAGCCTCTCCTCCCCGCTCCCTCACGCTCCCCACGAGGACACACAGTGCAATGTAAACCCGGGCACGGGCGCAGTGTTTATAAAACCCTGCAGAGCTGCTGTGTTACACACGGAGCCAGGCAGCAGAGCTGCTGCTGCCAACCCCTGCGACAGCGCAGGGCCTGGGCTCGGGCAGCTGCCCCGACCCCGCTCGGCGCCCGCCCGCGTTGTAGCCTGAGCCCAGGGCTACAGGTGGTGCCAGGAGTCCGCTGAAGCCCTGGGAGCAGGGCAGGGCCCAAGGGCAGCACGGCCGCAGTGCTCCGGGCAAGATGGGGCAACACGAGAGGCCCTGGAGGCAGCACCGAAGATGGGGTTCACACATGTGTCGATCTCTTGCCCGAGGACCTGCTCTGTCCACACCTCTGTGTGCTGGAGCTGCGCCATGGACAGAGGGAGGCCCGTCGAGGGCAGGACGAACAGAGCTCACGCACGCTTCTTGCTTCAGGGGGCTAGAAATTCATGCAGGCAGTGGAACAAGACACGAGGGTGTGGAGGGGAGAGGGGAGGGCAGCAGGCGGAGGCACGAGGCAGCTTCAGCCCTGCGAGGAGACTATGGGGCGGCTGATGGTGCTGTTTGTCGTCATGGCCGTGAGCTCCCATCTGAAAGACACCGAGGGGACGCGCTAAGGGGAAGGGCAAATGGCCGTGCTCGCCAGCCCAGGAACACAGCGCCCCAGAGCCCTGCTGATGTCCCCAAGACAGGGAGCACCTGAGGGGCACCTGTTCCCCTGTACCTGATGTCGTGGGGAAGGCAAGACTGGTCCAGGCTGTACTGAATCACTGCTAGCTTGCACAGCGTCTTTAGACTGGGACCTGTGGAGCGAAGGTAGAGTCAGTGGCGACAGCCTCGTCTAGCCCTGCACCCCGGTGCCCAAGGGCAGGCACCCGGCTCCCCAGCACATCAGCCTGGCGGCAGGAGGTGCCGCCCGCGTGGGCAGTGCTCACGTACTGAAGTCAAGGATGTAGAGGTCCGAGTGATCCATCAGGTCAAACTCGTCACCCATTCCCTCCTCTGGAGACGGGCTGCAGAAGGAAAGCTCGTCAGTTGGCGCCAAAACACCCATATCCCCGTTGCATCCCTTGGGGCTCCCGGAGTGTCCAGGACTGTCCCCGTCCTGCATTTGGGCCCCTCTGATGCCCTTCTCCCCCCAGCAGCAGCCAAGCCGGGCTCCCACGGCAGCCCATGGTGCAGAGCCACCCCGCTGGCCAGCTCTGGCGCTTGGCACGTGCGCCCTCTCCGGCCCAAGGGAGCCGGGCCTCCTCAGGTACCTCCTGATCTGCTCCCCAACATCAGAGCAGCCCAGGTGCCTCCTTGAGGCCCAGGGACCCCTCCTCTGGGCACGAGGAGGGGGCTGGCAAACACCCTCCCTTTGCAGCATGAGCCACTGCCAGCGCTGCGTGTTGTTCCTGGGAGCACAGGGCTCCGTTCGCTCTGCAGTTCCAGAGAGTCTGGGCCTCCAAGGAGCTGCCTCCTTCCCTCTCTGTCCGCGCTAGCTGTGCATCCCCATTGCATTAACATCAGCTCTCTAGCAAAAGCCCGCAGATTGGCAGCCTGCCACCAGGAGAACATCCCATTTAAGTTGTGTGACTTCAGCTATGGCAGCAGCGAGATTCCTTTGGGAATGAGTCGGAAGGCCTGTGCCACGTCCACTAGCACGGTGCTGCAATCAACATGATCCTGTCCGGAGCGCAGCACTCATCTCACCTGGCTGAGAGGGGAGCCATTATTTTGGGCATTCCCAGGAAAGGCAGCC